GCACACACACACACAGGCACACAACAACAACAACCGCCATTCGCCAGTTGAACATTCGTGGTTTTAAGCATTAACACGTGTCGCTCTTGACACTGAACACGTTTCTCCTCCTGCGGAGGGAGCTGGTAGGAACATCGGGTTGCTCAGTCAATGGTCAGGGTCAACGGCGGCGTGGTGTATTCCGCAAATATGCCCGACAGTGAGGGCGGGCACAAGCCGGTGTGAGTAGGTAAAACGTTGAGTTTTATAAGGGCACCACGGGGTGACCAGCCCCACCCCTCCCAGCCCTACCCTCCCCACCCAGCCCCACCCTCCCCACCCAGCCCCTCCCCTCCCAGCCCCACCCCCCACCCAGCCCCACCCTCCCCACCCAGCCCCTCCCAGCCCCACCCACACCCAGCCCCACCCTCCCCACCCAGCCCCTCCCCTCCCAGCCCTACCCTCCCCACCCAGCCCCTCCCTGCACGACGGACGGACGGACACAATAATCCCCTGTGGGCTGGTGTAACCAGAGGTTCCTACCAGTAACAATCTTGCCAATTGCTTGTTTTTATTTTGTACGTCTCGGCTCTGTCGTGAATAGGTGGATCCTCACGACGATGTTTGTTAACTGAATGTCATTGACAACATGATTAGGTGAAATGTATCCCACCGGCGAGGGTGAATGGTGTCGTGTGCGAAGCTACGCAGTGGCGTGGAGTGGCTCTGGGGGAGAGGCGTGAGAAGTCGCTCACATTTCATGAATGACTTTATCAAGGTCCCAGCAACACGCGTGCACGTGGCGTGTGAGTGAGCGCGTTTCACAGCGCGATTTGGGCAATTAGAACACACGACGGAATTGATTACACCTGCTTGCTTCATCAACAAAAGCCCATCAGGAAAACATTAGTCTGAACGTGTTTGTGTGCATTGATTAGAGGCCGTCGATAAATGACGTCACGCACCTGGCGTGACGCTATTTATGGACGTGGGGAGCGGTAGTGCAGCGGTTAGCGCGCTGCGCTAACTCAAGTGACGATTATCTGAACCGGTCCTGGACTTCCCCTAGGTCGACTCAGCCTTAAGTGAGTACCTGGTGCGGTGTGTAAACATTGCCACTGGGGAGACAAAGGCGGTCGGGCGTGGTGCTGGCCACCCACCCCCTCGTGTACTGTTCCGGCCTTCATAGGTGCTCGCTAACAGCACTTGCCCCTACAGTCTGTTAAGGCTATACGGGGGATCTTTGTAGGTGTGTGTGTGTGTAGGTGAGTGTGTGTAGGTCAGTGTCTGTCTGTGTGTGTCTGTGTGTGTGTGTAGGTCAGTGTCTGTGTGTGTGTGTAGGTGAGTGAGTGTCTGTCTGTGTGTGTGTGTAGGTGAGTGAGTGTCTGTCTGTGTGTGTGTGTGTAGGTGAGTGAGTGTCTGTGTGTGTGTAGGTGCGTGAGTGTCTGTCTGTGTGTAGGTGAGTGAGTGTCTGTCTGTGTGTGTGTAGGTGAGTGAGTGTCTGTCTGTGTGTGTGTAGGTGAGTGAGTGTCTGTCTGTGTGTGTGTGTAGGTGAGTGAGTGTCTGTCTGTGTGTGTGTGTAGGTGAGTGAGTGTCTGTCTGTGTGTGTGTGTAGGTGAGTGAGTGTCTGTCTGTGTGTGTGTGTAGGTGAGTGAGTGTCTGTCTGTGTGTGTGTAGGTGAGTGAGTGTCTGTCTGTGTGTGTGTAGGTGAGTGAGTGTCTGTGTGTGTGTGTAGGTGAGTGAGTGTCTGTGTGTGTGTGTAGGTGAGTGAGTGTCTGTGTGTGTGTGTGTAGGTGAGTGAGTGTCTGTCTGTCTGTGTGTAGGTGAGTGAGTGTCTGTCTGTGTGTGTGTGTGTGTAGGTGAGTGAGTGTCTGTCTGTGTGTGTGTGTGTGTAGGTGAGTGAGTGTCTGTCTGTGTGTGTGTGTGTGTAGGTGAGTGAGTGTCTGTCTGTCTGTGTGTGTGTAGGTGAGTGAGTGTCTGTGTGTGTGTAGGTGCGTGAGTGTCTGTGTGTGTGTGTAGGTGAGTGAGTGTCTGTCTGTCTGTAGGTGAGTGAGTGTCTGTCTGTGTGTGTAGGTGAGTGAGTGTATGTCTGTGTGTGTGTGTAGGTGAGTGAGTGTCTGTGTGTGTGTGTGTGTAGGTGAGTGAGTGTCTGTCTGTGTGTGTGTGTGTAGGTGAGTGAGTGTCTGTCTGTCTGTGTGTGTAGGTGAGTGAGTGTCTGTCTGTCTGTGTGTGTAGGTGAGTGTCTGTCTGTCTGTGTGTGTGTGTAGGTGAGTGAGTGTCTGTCTGTGTGTGTCTGTGTGTGTGTAGGTGAGTGAGTGTGTGTGTAGGTGAGTGTGTGTGTGTGTGTAGGTGAGTGAGTGTCTGTGTGTGTGTAGGTGAGTGAGTGTCTGTGTGTGTGTAGGTGAGTGAGTGTCTGTGTGTGTGTGTAGGTGAGTGAGTGTCTGTGTGTGTGTAGGTGAGTGAATGTCTGTGTGTCTGTGTGTGTGTAGGTGAGTGAGTGTCTGTGTGTGTAGGTGAGTGAGTGTCTGTCTGCGTGTGTGTGTGGGTGAGTGAGTGTCTGTCTGCGTGTGTGTGTAGGTGTAGGTGAGTGAGTGTCTGTGTGTGTGTAGGTGAGTGAGTGTCTGTGTGTGTGTAGGTGAGTGAGTGTCTGTCTGCGTGTGTGAGGAGGCGGTGGTGTAGCGGTTAGCGCGCTGCGCTATGAATCTGGCGACCCGGGTTCGATTCCCGCTCACGGCTAACACCAGTGACGATTATCTGAACCGGTCCTGGGCCTCCCCTAGGTCGACTCAGCCTTAAATGAGTACCTGGTGCGGTGTGTAAACATCGCCACTAGGGAGACAAAGGCGGTCGGGCGTGGTGCTGGCCACCCACCCCCTCGTGTACCGTTCCGGCCTTCATAGGTGCTCGCTAACAGCACTTGCCCCTACAGTCTGTTCAGGCTATACGGGGGATCTTTGTCTTGTCTGCGTGTGTGTGTGTAGGTGAGTGAGTGTCTGTCTGCGTGTGTGTGTGTAGGTGAGTGAGTGAGTGTCTGTCTGCGTGTGTGTGTGTGTAGGTGAGTGAGTGTCTGTCTGTGTGTGTGTGTGTAAGTGTAGGTGAGTGAGTGTCTGTGTGTGTGTGTGAGTGTAGGTGAGTGAGTGTCTGTACCGGGGGAATTTCCATCTGGTACAGATGTAGTGTTGTAAAGGACGGACTTCTAAACTTCTTTATGGCACACACTGTTTATTATCTTGACACACAGTCTCCTGACCCTGCACAGCTCACACTCACTCCTCGCTCCTATTCTACGAAGGTACAGCCTTCGGACTTGCTGTCTATCTAATCTCCCCGCTAGCCTAGCGTCCTCCGGCTGGGACCTAGGGGAGGCACACTGACCCGCCGCTGGCCCAGCGGGTCCCCGACCTCTGGTCGCTCAAGACCTTCGTCCTCACAAGGGCGGGAAGGCTGGGAGCCAGGGTCCTATCCAGGACCTATCTCCTCCGACCACTGGTGACACTGAGCCCCAGCCCTGACAAGGGCTGGAAGGCTTGGTCCAGGGTCCTAGCTGTCTTCAGCCGACTTGGGTCTTCGTGTGGCAGAACTCACCAAGAGCTCTCAGCGCTCCGGCTTTTATACCTGTTCGTGGCCGGGTTGTCTAATCCCCGGCCACCTTGTGGAACCCTCCGATTGGTCCTTCCCAATCTGGCGTTTGGATCCTACCTCACCCCATTTGACCCTGACCGTTTGATTGAGCGGGAAAACATTGTTTACGATCCGCTCTCTCAGTTTGAGAACAGCGAGTAGTTAACACCACTACACAGATATAATGGGAGGCTGATCGACGCCCGGGTGCGATCAAGGGATGGCTCCCTATTGGTAAACCACGTTATGTATGCCGATGATTTGGTAATAGCTGCTCATTCAGAAGAAGAGTTGGAGACGCTGCTGCTGATACTGGAGCGTGCCACTATGAGGTGGGGCCTTACCATCAGCCCCACCAAAACTAAGCACCTGCCTGGGTATTTTGTACCATCGGACACTCCACCCCCACAACTCCCAATCGGTGATGGGGTAGTAGTGGAGAGAGTGGAGAGTTTCCCATACCTGGGCAGTGTGCTTATGACCGGCTCCAGTTTATCAGCAGAGGTCTCACTCAGAATCAGTCGAGCGGCAATATCTTTTCATCGGTTGCGTAACGCTGTGTGGAAGCTACCTGGTCTGTCGCTCCGCACGAAGCTTCAGGTCTTCTCGGCCACGGTCATTCCCTCCCTTCTCTACGCTTCGCCGGTTGGAAACATTTAGGCTGGCCTGCCTACGATCCATCCTGGGTTTAACCAGGCTGGATTGTGTGAGGAGCTCACAAATCCGTGAAAGATCTGGGCAAAGTCCCATCGGTGAGCTCCTCCGGCAGGCAAGGCTGCGTTGGCTGGGTCATGTAGCCCTGCATGCCCAGCCACCACATGCCTAAACAGCTTTTGTTCGGCCGGATCGAGGGGGCTAAACGGGCGCGGCACGGGCTAGAGAAGAGATGGAGTGATGTGGTACAGGAGGACGTGGAGCTGAGTGGACTTGCCGATGACTGGTACCAGCGGTGTCAAGATCGGCCTCTGTGGAGGAGGCTCGTGAAGGATGCTACTGGGCAGTTGGAGGCAGTCTCCCTCCAACAACAACGGAGGGCGGAGGAGCGACGCTCACAACAACGAGCGGAGCGCCGGGTGGCTAAAGCACAGCAAGTTGGTACAGTAGGGGGCACAGGTGGTGCATCAGCCAGTCATCTCGGTCATCTCGGTCAGTCGACCCGTTGCACCTGGGTCTGCCCCGTGACCTCCTGCCAGCGGGCGTTCGACACTTCACGTGGCCTCAAGGTGCACATGGCCTGGCACAAGCGTCGTGGTGACGTCACCGCCACTTAGTAGCGAATGGCGGTTGTTGTGTCACTGTGTGTGTGTCACTGTGTGTGTGTGTAGGTGCTGCTGCTGCGTGTGACGAGGTGGTGTGGCTCGACTCGTCACAGCAGCAGTGGAGGAGCCGCGCGCCGCGAGATGTCGCGCGCCAGCGCCTCGGCCACGCGGCAGACGGCGCCACGTAGCGCGTGTGTTCGCCGCTGGGCACCATCGCACCGCCCCCCATCCCCCCTGCTCCTCCTCATCGCTGCTGCTCTCGCGGCAGCCTTCTACTCGCGAGTGGGGTAAGAGAGATCGCCGTCGTTGAGAAGCCAGGCTCGTCGTGCGGTGTCGTGACGGGGGCTGCGGTGGCAATGTCGGGTCAATGAATGGCGACGCGTCGCTGTGAAGATCGTCGAGGGAAAAAAAAGTCTGCACGCTGCTGCTGCTGCTGCCGCTGCTGCTGCTGCGTTCGCTCGCGCTGGTCACCGCAACGCCGGGCGGCTGTCCGTCCACGCGCCCGTCTGTGCGTCCGTCTGCCTTCCCCATCGCCGCAGGGCGCTGTCCGCGGTCGTGGCACCGGGCGCGAACATCATCTGCGGCAAGATTCCGGGACTGTCGCCACGGCAGCGGGCGCTGTGCCGGAGCCGTCCGGACGCGATGGTCGTGGTCGGTGAGGGCGCGCGGCTGGGAATCGGCGAGTGCCGGCACCAGTTCCGATTCAGCCGCTGGAATTGCTTGGCGCTGGGTGAGGAGACGGTGTTCGGCCAGGAGCTCAAAGGCGGTGAGCGCCAGTGTAAATTTTTTTTCCAAAATTTTACACTGTTAAGGGAAAACAAATTAAATATTAAATTACCAAGTATTTAATACTGCAGACAATCATCTGACCCATAGGTGGCAGCCATCTCAAGCCAGAGGACGAGAGGACTCTAGCCGCCCCGATGCCACGCATATAAAGGATTTATAGTGAAAAACTTTGTTTTTACGGGTTAAACTTATTGCTGGCTCCCTACACCCCTTTAATCCGCTGATTTCCCCTGACCGCCTGGGCAAAGGGCTCCATTCACAACATGACTCACACCGGTGACATTGGGAGACACCCCTGTCGCACACCTGACCCAGTTGGTATCTCCTCAGAGAGGACTCCATTTATCAGCAGGCTGCCCGTGAGCTTATGATGCAGCAGTTGCCGTATAACCCCCCTGGTGCGTGCGCTCCCCGACACGAGCAGGTAGCCGAGAAGCGGCCTTCCAGCACGCGGTGATCTCGGCCGCCGTGGCGTACGCCATCACGGCGGCGTGCGGCCGGGGCGACCGGAGCGAGTGCGGCTGCGACGGCGCCAAGCGGGGCGGCTTCTACGACGCGCAGGGGGGCTGGCGCTGGGGCGGCTGCTCGGCCGACCTCAGCCACGGCCTCGAGTTCTCGCGCCTCTTCGTGGACGCGCGCGAGGTCCAGCGGAACACGCGCACGCTCGTGAACCTGCACAACAACGTCGCCGGGCGCAAGGTGCGTGGGCGCGCGGGTGCCCTACCTTGCTCCTCGTCTTCCCACGACGCCTTTCAATCGGCTGTCTCCGCAGATCACGACGACACGCGCCGTCCGTTTATAGACCTCGCTTCTCCATTTGAATCGGAAAGGTTGATGTCATTCATCGGCGCGCGATGACTTCATCTACTCGTGAACGCGATCCGTAGGGGGCGTGCGGCGGTGGTATAACGGGTCGGCGGATCGGAAGTCTTCGCTTGGGTGCTCCGGGCGCGGCACGACGTTCTAATTGCGGCGGCGAAATGAGCAACGCCGCAGTTAGGTGACCTGGTGCGCCACGTGCGGCGGGGTGAAGGGGGGGGGGGGGTTATCCAAGACGTGTGGTCAGTGTGGGAGAGTAGAGCGACGTGCCCTCGAGTGGGGAGGAGGGCTTTCTGACAGCAGTGGTGCCACAAAGCAGGTTGCAGGGCTGCACCTTTACCTGTTCCTTGCACCGGACATTGGCGGCTCCGTTTCCACTGAGGACCTCCTCCCTCCAAGGTCCTCCAGGTCAGCGCAGCCTAAGAGCGACTCGCCCGGTGCTTTCACTTTCCCTGCACGGCCACGGGGTTGCAGGTGGCCACCCACACAGCCAGCCAGCCACCTCCTGCTCGTGGTGGCACGGCGACACTGGGCTGCTGCTGCTGCTGCTACCCTTGCAGCTCGTCCGCCCCGGTGCTCCTTGAGTGCTCTCGATAGGGGTCTCCTCTCCCCCTGATCCCACCTGCAGGCCCATAATTGAATGAAGGCGCTCGCGTGCCATGCAAGAAATTTCGGTAAAGTCACTTAGGTGAAAAAAAAAAAATTGCTGTGGTTGTCCCACCTGATGACGGAAGCTTGTGTTACCTCCGAAACGTCGTGATTGAGTTTAGTTATTTTTTAGAATTTTTATTTTCACCCACGTCACTTTACCGAAAGAACCACGGAGTATGGATCCTTGCAGTTACGAAAACTTCGAATCTAGAATGCAAGGAATTATCATTACGCCCGTGGGGCCCTGTTTCCTCTGCAGGCGATTTCCCCAAACCGAGCACTCCTCCAGATCCAATCCAAGGCAGGCGCTGAAATGTCTTGGGGTGAAAACAAAACCATCTCTCACCCCCACCCCGCGTCCGGCAACCCCTCACCCACACTCCCTCGCTTGACCTCTCATCCCGCCACCCAACCCCTCCCCTCCCCACTCCCCCCCCCCCCCACTTGTCCCCACCCACCTCCCCGATGCTCTCCCGCCCTCTCGTCTCTCTCTCTCCCCCACGCGCCGCCAGGTGCTGGAGGAGAACATGAAGCCGGTGTGCAAGTGCCACGGAGTGTCGGGCTCGTGCACCACCAGGACGTGCTGGGCCACGCTGCCCCAGTTCCGCGAGGTGGGCTCCGCGCTCAAGCGCAAGTACGACGAGGCGGTCCACGTGGAGCCGGTGCACGCCGGCCGCTACCGCCGCCGCTACCCCGCCTTCCTCAAGATGAGGCGCTCGCGCGCCCACCGCAAGCCGCTCCGCACGGAGCTCGTGTTCACCAAGAGCTCGCCCAACTACTGTGAGGAGGACTGGCTGACGGGCAGCGTGGGCACGCGCGGCCGCCCGTGCGACCGCAAGTCGCCGCACGCCGACGGCTGCGAGCTGCTGTGCTGCGGCCGCGGCTACGACACGCGCCAGTACACGCGCTCGTGGCATTGCGAGTGCAAATTCCGCTGGTGCTGCTACGTGCGCTGCAGCGCGTGCAGCGAGGGGGCGGAGGAGTACACGTGCAAGTGACGGCGGCCCCGACGCCTCCGCCGGCTCGATGGCTCGCCCCGTCGACTGTCGGCCGTGGCCCCCCACGAGCCTCGCCCCTGGCAGCAACAATCGTGGCCGGACAAAGGTTTTGCTGTGGCTTAACAAAGCGGTGTCACCTAATAATGTTTATAATATAAATACGCACAGCTCCTTGTCGGTGCACTGCTAGATTAAGGACTCCCCCCAATGCCGTGTCAGCCATGTGGTTTGTTTGACCATACTTCACCAGTGCGGGTTGGTGAAGGGGGCACCGGGCAGGGAATGGTTCAGATCTATTACTCGCCACTGATCTAAGCCTTTGCCGGGAATCAAACTCGGGTCACTGGGTTCACGGTGCAGTCCGCCAATCGCTGAGCCACCGCCTCTCAACCTCGTCTGTGTTGTGTGTGCGCCGGTTACATTGCAGTGCAAAGGTGAGCGCCACGCTGCGCTACAAACCCGGCCACTCGAGTTCGATTCCCGCTCACGGTCAACACCAGTGACGATTATCTGAACAGGTTCTGTGCCACCCCTAGGTCGACTTAGCCTCAAACGGGTACCTGGTGCGATGTGTAAACATCGTCAGTGGGGACACAAAGGCGGCCGGGCGTGGTGCTGGCCACCCACCCCCTCGTGTGCCGTTGTCGGCCTTCATAGGTGTTCACTAACAACACTTGACCCCAAGAGTCTGTTTGTGTTACATTAAAAGTATTGAACGCACATTCCGCATTCCGTTATTTTATTTCTCTTACATCCTGACCAGAAAGGCGAGGGCATGCATGGGGCAGACACGTGCCTACGTAGGGCTCGAAAAAAATAGTTGCAGGCAACAGCAGCGACAACAAAAAAATCTCACGCGAGGAGTGCAGCAACGCGGCACAGTGATAAGACGTTAGAAGCCCGTGACCTCAAAATGACAATGTTGCGTTTCGTGATCCGCGCTCACTACACCACATTCCCGCCCCCGAGATGCGCGAGTGAGAGTGCGCGCTGGAGAGGGGGCCTCTGTTTGGGTGGCAGGGGGCCAGTCATTGATTTGGCTGTCTGGTCCGGGCTGGAGTCATTCGTTTTATGGCCGGACAACTCTCGCCTCCCCACCGTGCACCTCCAACATCACCACCTCCAACATCACCATGATCACCACCACCATCACCACCTCCAACATCACCACCTCCAACATCACCACCTCCAACATCACCATGATCACCTCCACCATCACCACCTCCACCATCACCACCTCCACCATCACCACCTCCACCATCACCACCTCCAACATCACCACCTCCAACATCACCACCTCCAACATCACCACCTCCACCATCACCACCTCCACCATCACCACCTCCAACATCACCACCTCCAACATCACCACCTCCAACATCACCATGATCACCTCCACCATCACCACCTCCACCATCACCACCTCCACCATCACCACCTCCACCATCACCACCTCCAACATCACCACCTCCAACATCACCATGATCACCTCCACCATCACCACCTCCACCATCACCACCTCTAACATCACCACCTCCAACATCACCATGATCACCATCACCATCACCACCTCACCATCACCACCTCCACCATCACCACCTCCACATCACCACCTCCACATCACCATGATCACCATCACCATCCACCTCCACCATCCACCATCACCACCTCCAACATCACCATCACCACCTCCACCATCACCACCTCCACCATCACCACCTCCAGCATCACCACCTCCAGCATCACCACCTCCACCATCACCACCACCACCCACCCCCACCACCACCCACCCCCCACCACCACCACCCCCACCACCACCAACACCACCACCATCACCCCCCCCACCACCACGACCCCCACCACCACCACCCCCACCACCAACACCACCACCTTCACCACCACCCCCACCACCAACACCACCACCACCCCCACCACCACCACCACCCCCACCACCACCACCCCCCCACACCACCACCACCACCCCCCCACACCACCACCACCACCCCCCCACACCACCACCACCACCACCACCACCCCCTCCAGCACCACCACCCCCACCATCACCCCCACCACCACCCCCCCACACCACCACCACCACCACCCCCACCAGCACCACCACCACCACCCCCTCACACCACCACCACCACCACCTGTGTCTACCCAGCAGTCTCAGTGGGTGCACACAGCGGCGGCGAGTCGATGGCGGTGGGGCAAAGTGTGGCTCACTCCCACGTCGATCCACACACGTCGCGCCAGCGTGTGGAAGTGTTCAGCCAAGATGTGTGTACCCAGGAGAGCGACATTCTGACTCGACTCTCGACTGTCTGTGAACAACAAGAGCCTCGCAGCTCATTGGATTCCTCCACTCTTAGAACAAATGTCCGCGTCTCTGATAGCGGTGTCACTTCCACCGGCAGGGGCATGCACTTTAACACCGAAACAACGTCGGTTTTGATAATTGGTTTTTTACCCTTCTATCTGGCAACAAAACTGACATCTTCTTACAAGGAGTCACGTTTGCATAGACCACAATACCTGTCTCGGGTGTGGACCAATCAACTTCAAGGACAGTTGTGTTTTTTGTTTGCATTATGACTGCAGGTATTGTGGTCTATGCAAACATGACTCCTTGTAAAACAAGTTGCAGGTTTGTTGCCAGATAGAAGGGTAAAAAAACAATTATCATATTTTTACTGGCAAATGAGGTTCCAATGGTGTAAACGTCGGTTTTGTTTACACCCGAGGAGGTGGGGTTGGGGGTCTGTGTCTTTGTGCACGTACGCAAGTTTACGCGTTTGCTGCCGCGCGCATCGAACGTGAAATGAGTGTTTTTTTTAAATACGCCCGAATAGCTGAAATCGACCGCAATCCTATTGTGGATGTAAACAAAAAAACCTCGCGACGGATGTGAACACGACACTTTGTTTAAATGCCACGAGCGGTCTACACGCAGCGATCGTACGCCGAGAACAAAACGCCGCGGACAGGCGCGAGGGAGGTGGCCGTGGTCGTGTCGGGCATGCGTCTGAAGCGGTGGTTCTTCACCTGGGGCTTGCACGCACACGTGGGGGGGGGGGCACGCTGGGGGGGGGGCACGCTGGGGGGTGGCACGCTGGGGGGGGGCACGCTGGGGGGGGCACGCCCCTCCTTGGGTTTGCGAAACATAGCCAGATATTGTTTTCATAAAGTAAATAATCGAAAACACAAATTGAGCACGGGCACATGAGTAACAACTTACTTTGTGTCGTCAACCCCTACGCGTGATCGTTTAACGATTGACAACCAAAGAGGGGGGGGGGAGGGGGGGTGCAAGGCTGCGGTAAATGTTAAGAACCACCGCAGTCTCCGATGTGACGAGAAGGATCTCCTTTGTTCTGCTGCTGAAAACTTGACCTCGAGTTCGCGTGTGCGCACATGTCTATACGTACGCAGAGGGGAGCGGTGGTGCAGCGGTTAGCGCGCTGCGCGACGAACCTGGCGACCCGGGTTCGTTTCCCGCTCACGGCCAACACCGGTGACGATTATTTGAAGCTGTCCTAGGCCTCCCCTAGGTCGACTCGGCCTCAAATGAGTACCGAGGTGTAAACATCGCCACTAGGGAGACAAAGGCGGCCGGGCGTGGTGCTGGCCACCCACCCCCTCGTGTGCCACAGTGCCGGCCTTCACCAGCGCTGCTCGCTAACAGCACTTGCCCCTGACAGTCTGTCCAGGCTACACGGGGGACCTTTGTCTTTATACACACGCACGGCTCACGAGGAGGTGGGTGTGTGCCAGCACCACGCCCGAACGCCTTTGGTCTCCCCCAGTGGCGATGTTCACTACACACCGCACCCAGGTACTAATTAAGGCTGAGTCGACCTAGGGGAGGCCCAGGACCGGTTCCGATAATCGTCACCGGCGTTGGCCGTGAGCTGGAATCGAACTCGGGTCCGCCGGGTTTGTAGCGCAGCGCGCTAACCGCTGCACCACCGCTCAGCCCCCCCCCACACCACCATACAAAGACAAAGATCCCCCGTGTAGGCTTAACAGACCGTTGGGGCAAGTGCTGTTAGCGAGCACCTCACACACTCCCACCCACATGCGCACACGTGAACGCGCATCGCACACACACACACACAACAACCGCCGTTCCCCACTGAGTGCCGGCGACGTCGCCACGGCGCTTGAGCCAGGCTAGGTGCACCTTGAGGCTGCGTGAAGTGTCGAAGGCTCGCTGACAAGAGGTCACTTCCACGCGCGCGCATGTCCACGTTTGATTCCGTGACTGTGCGTGCTGTCCTTAGCACGCGAGTGTGCGCTCCAGTCACTGATGCAGTGGAATGTGATGCTAAACGTTCCGTGTCAATAAATGCAAATGCTATTTGATTGCAGTCGTGTATTATATTTCACGCATACACGCGCGCAAAACAACACGCAAAGTTCCCCCGCGTAGCCTGAACATGCTGTTGGGGCAAGTGCAAGACGGAGTAAGTGGGTGGCCAGAACCACGCGCGGCCGCCCTTTGGCGATGTTTACACACTGCACCAGGTACTCGTTTGAGGCTGAGTCGACCTAGGGGAGGCCCTGCACCGGTTCGGATCACCATCATCGGTGCTGTCCGTGAGCGGGAATCCAACTCGGGTTGCGCGGATTGTCGAGCAGTGTCCATTGCACACTACACACTAGTTGCTGTGATTCGCACATACATATGACGCCTTACATAACATGTCATACATAGAATAGCATCATGTAAACTGTAAGCATGCGTATAATCGGTACATACAATATACTAAGCAATACGTAAATAACACACCTTCAATATTATATTGAGTCGATATGCACTAATACGTCGTTGAGTAAGAAAAACATGAACACAACCTGCAATAGACTCTGCATGCATGCCGAGTAATGCACACGTACACGCATCACTAGTAAACCATACATACCTGCTGCTCAACACATCACAATCATCATCAGCCAAGGTCAAACCACTGCTGGATGAAAGGCCTCCAAGATGCCGA